CCGCCAAATATAAGATGGCTCTGTCTTTTGGTTTTGTTCCATCCACCAAAAGGGTGGATTACAAACAAATATTTGGTAATACGCAGTTACAATCGGCCCGAGTTTACACGTTTCCCGCACTCCACCGCAAATCTATATGAACCGAGTTAAAGACGGCTCCCGCGGAGTACGCCCAATTCACCCGAGCCGACTTAACTCGTTTCCCGCACTCCAAGTGTGAACTCCGGTTCCGGAAGACTCTGGGGACCCGGACTTGTGCGGGGAGAGACTGGACGGTCTGGCAGGGGGCAGAACTCGGAACTCAAGGGCAGCTTTCTCTCAAAGGTGCTTGCAGCAATTACCGAGACACTGAGATGCAGGGCCCCTTAGGGCAGGGCTGAGGATAAGCCATAGCTGCTTGCTTAGCCCTGTTGATCCCGAGACCCTGCCCCACCCAAGCTGCAGCAAAGCCTTTTGCATATGAATGCCCTGGCCCTTTGCAATCTGAAAATTACCTAACAAACTGCAGCTGGGCCAGACAGACCCAGAACTTCCAAGAGAAGGCCCAAGGCCCCAGAGCAGCTTTCATTGGTTCACAGCTGGTCCTCATTTGGGCATCTCCAAACCCCAAACAAGGAAGAGGAATCTGCAGATCTCTTCGTAGCTCCTGCTGGGTAGCCTCAGGCAGAGGCTAAATTAGCACCTCCCTTAGATCCAAGAGCCAGTGTACCCAGTGGTCAGAGTAGGACCATCCAGATTACAACTTCTCAGATCCATAAGGGACACACTCAGGGGGCAGACTCAGTGAGCACCAAAGCCCCACTGAAGCAAGTCTTGCCCCATAAGAGTGTCTTCAGCACAGAAGTTCTCCCACTGTAGACACAGCTGATTCTCACAGCCAATTGTCCTGGAGGTCAATTCCTCCCAGTGATACTACACAATCAAGGGCTTAACTACAACAAGAGTGTGCCAAAGCTCACAAAGTGGGTGCACCAAGAGTGTCCACCTCAGGTAATTGGGGAGGCTGAGCCACTGGGCCCTATAGGACACCTAGCACAGAAAGCCACTCTACCAACACAGGGAAGCATAAAAAAATGCAGAGACAAAGAAATAGGTCACAAATGACAGAAATGGAGGAAAGCAAACTACTGGGATATAGAGTTCAAACCCATGGTTTATAAGATTTTTCAAGAATTTTTCTAGAAACCCGCCGATAAATTTAGTAAGACCCTCAATAAGTGTAGTGAGACCCTCGAGGGATATGAAAAAAGGACCAACTAGAAATTAAGCATACACTGACTGAACGCAGGCAGGTGGTGTGCGGCACCAAGTGCAACACGCTCTTCGTGGTGGATGTGCAGTCCGGCCAGATCACGCGCATCCCGCTCTTGCGGAATCGGAAACCCGAGCCGCCTCCGGCCCAGCCAAGCTGTGGCATCCACGCCATCGAGCTGAATCCCTCCAAGACGCTTCTGGCCACCGGGGGCGAGAACCCCAACAGCCTGGCTGTCTACCAGCTGCCCACCCTGGACCCCTTGTGCCTGGGTGACCGCCATGGCCACAGGGACTGGATCTTCGCCATCGCCTGGATAAGCGACACTGTGGCTGTGAGCGGGTCCCGCGACGGCACTGTGGCTTTGTGGAGAATGGATCCTGACATGGTCAGTGGCAGCAAAGCCTGGCACAGTGACGAACAGCTCCCCGTGTACGCCCACATCCGTCCGAGGGACATGGAGACCATCCCCAGGTCCAGCACCAACCCCAGTAACAGAAAGGTGCGGGCCCTGGCCTTTAATCATAAGAACCAGGAGCTGGGAGCAGTGTCCCTAGACGGCTACTTCCACCTGTGAAAGCCCGCAGCACCCTGTCCAGGATGCTGACCATCAGGCTGCCCTACTGCAGAGAGAACGTGTGCCTGACCTACTGCGAGGAGTTGTCCCTCTATGCGGTGGGCTCCCAGTCCCACGTCTCCTTTCTGGATCTGCGCCATGGTCACCAGAACATCAGGCCCCTGTGTTCCCGAGAGGGCGGCACTGGTGTGCGCTCGCTGAGCTTCTACCAGCACATCGTCACCGTGGGCACAGGCCATGGCTCCCTGCTCTTCTATGACATCCGTGCCCAGAAGTTCCTGGAGGAGAGGGCATCGCCCAACCTGGACTCCTCCCCAGAGCCCTCAGGGAGGAAGCTGAGGCTCACGTGTGGCAGAGGCTGGCTCAATCACAATGACTTGTGGGTGAACTACTTCGGTGGCATGAATGAGTTCCCCAACGCTCTCTACACCCACTGCTACAACTGGCCTGAGTTGAAGCTCTTTGTGGCTGGGGGGCCTCTCCCTTCAGGCCTCCACGGGAACTATGCAGGCCTCTGGAGCTAAGGGTGGCCTCTGTGTTCTCCAAGTGCCCAGATTTTCCCTCTCATTTTCCTTTGTCAGGCTGTGTTTGTGCTATTAACTATATGTGGCTTTTGTCCTCCACTTGGAACTGCCCAACTTACCTGTGCTTAGTGTATTAAGCAGAGAGGGGTCGGGGAGAGGGAGAGAGAGCTGTCCTTCAGCCAATCAAAACTTGGCTTTAATACTTTTCAACAACCATTTAACACAATCATTTTTAATTCTTATACCAAGATTTTGGGCAAATTCTTAGCTGTGTCCTCTCTTTAAGTTATTTATAAATTCTCTCTAATGCCATTTGGTCAGTTTTACAATGGTGTGTCTTTTTCTTTGTTATTACTATTACATTAATACTGTTTCTGGTTATTTTTTCATTTCAAATAGACTGTAATATGAAGAACATTTTTAACTGGGTTGGTACATCTGTTCTGGAAAGCTAGCCATAGTTTTATAGCACTTTTCCAATTGGAAACTACATTCCAAGTTCTTCATTATCAACTTTTGGAAACATTCCATTTGCAAATTGTAGTCTTGGTGTTTATAGTTTGTAAGTTGGTGCTAAACGTGCTTTTTAACAAAGTTTATTCTCTTTGAAAAAAAGAACTGTCCTACAATCTTGTTTTTGTAGCAAAATCTGAATTGGTCAGAACATTTCAGGAATGCAAGGGTTTTGCTGATTGAATTTAAAGAATTAAGCTAAAAACCTAATCAATCTTTTTTTTTCTTCAACCCTTACTTAAGTTTTTATGACCTGTTGTAAAATAGATAAATGACAGTATATTTTTTCACTTCTTGCCTTAGTACTGTCAAAAATTGTGAATATATTTGAATGTTTGTTGTTTAAGGAACTTGCATAGACTTTCAGTGCCATCATTCAAAGCAGGGATTGTAAGTGTAAAATTGTAGACTGGGAAGAATGTATACTGATCCAGGTTATAGACTGGATAATTTTTCTGTTGCTATTTTTAATACCAAATATTATATTCAAGCATACTTTAAAATTTCCAATCATGTTTAGCAGTTAAGTCACAAGAAAAAAATTCAAAGAAGAAATAGAAGCTTAATCCCTACTCCTTTTGAAAATATCCTTAATTTGTGAAGTCCAAATTAATGTTATTTTGTGAATTTCAAAGATTCTTATGTAAAGTAGACTAAATATATTGGTAAAAAGTAGTGATGTTATAACCCTCATGTAATAACATACGGTTTTCAAGGGCACAAGACATTTGTTTCAAGAACTTGAGCTGGTGATTAAATAGAAGTGGAATTACATTGAAGAAAAGTACTTTGGGGCTCAGATAAATACAAATTGTGGATTGTTAGGAAATCAGGTTGTACTGCTCTCTTTGAGAAAATACTGGAAGTGAGAAGGGAGATTGGACCTTCCTCAAACCTGGCCAGGTTTTGCTGACCTTGGATTAGTATTGTGGTGTCTGTTTTTTCTTAAAAGTTTTGACACTCAGATGCTGCCTTGGTGTCGATGTACTACATGCTGTTCAGTTGCAAATCTGAACCAAGTAATATAATGATCTGTACTGAAAGTGAGTTTGGAAATACAGAAAAAAAGCTTTTGTTTACAGAGATTGTTTGAACAAGTTTATATAGTTGTTATATTAGCAGTGAGATGTATTTGTGTGCATGTATGTGTCTCCAACTCAGTTGCATATGTCTTGAGAGCAGAGACTATAACTGTCATCTTTATATTCTCTCATTTCTCCACTAATGTCTAGCAAATCATTGGCCATCAGTAAATATTTACTGAGCGAATGTGTTTTTTCTCTGGAGATTTAAAGTTCAAGGCTATTAAAAAAGTAAGTGCATACATACATATATAAATAAATAAATAAAATTAACTTTTAAATAGTATGGAATCCTGTTGTGCTCCCCTTCTTTTTTTGTTTTCTTAAAATTTGCCCTAATTTATTTCCAGGTCTGGCCATAGTGTTTATAAACTCCCCCATTTGTGATACCAGAAGATAAAGGAACACGTATAAATTATAATGGCACTGGAATTTAATATTTTCACTTGCAAATACTTAGATTTGAAGATTTCTTTTAAATGTTTTTTTTCATAAATTAGTTTTTTTAACTTTACTTTTATTGTTGACACTATTACAGATGTCCCCATCCCCCCCTTTGCCCACCTCCACCAAGTCCCCACCCCCTTCCCTCTCACAACACCACACAGTAGTCTGTGTCTGTGGGTTTTGCATATATGTTCTTTGGCTAATCTCTTCACCTTCTTTCATTTAATTCCCTCTCCCCTTCAACAGCTGTCAGTCTGTTCTTGTATCCATGCCTTTGCTTCTATTTTGTTCGTCCGTTTAGATTCCACATAAAAGTGAATATCTCTACTCTAATTTGTTCTCTGGCTTGGCCCTTCATTACTGACTCACTCTAAATTTCTCATAATTTAGGGTATAACTTTTTAATGCCAAATCACATGCTTTACCTTAAAAAAAACTAAGTAGCATAAATATGTATGTATTTGTATTATGTAGAAACTTAATTATTTTGAAATATTTTCTAGTTCAGAGATAAAGTGAGCTACAGAAGTACAATGAATTGTGTAACCTGTGAGTGTGAAATAATTGAAAATGTAACCTTGCCAGCACTCTAGGAAACCCATAAATATAATGCACTTAAAATACACAAGGGAAAGCATATCTTTAGGTATAAATTATCACTGTTGCCTGAAAAAGCTTAGTTGCTTATAACTATGCATAAAAAAATGTTAGTTGCCTCTATCTCTAACTACATATTCTCATATTCCTCCCCAAGTATATTGCTGACTCAAAAGTTTATGTTACTCCCCTTTACTCTTTGGATTCATTTCTGTTTTTTTGTTTTTTTTCCAAAGAGGGAAGAAAGAATTTACTAATCAAGGATGTCCACTGAAATAAATTGAGATGACTCCTCTGGAAAAAATTCATCTGTTAAATATACTCTAGCATTGATGATAAACAAAATAGAATCCTCTAGAGGTTGACTTGTATCTGGCTGCACTCAGTGTTGAGCAAGTTGTCAAAATTTTCCATTAGTTGCTAATTTAGAGTGATTTTAGAAAGCAATTCACAAAGCCTTTCCAGATGTTTTACTGACAGCTTCCTAATCTCTGCAAGTCTTGGGTAACCTAAATACATTAAATAAGCCACTATGTGAGCTGCTCCAGGATGCAATTCAGTGAGAACAACATGTACTAATGTGAACAAAAGGCTACATAGATCACAGGTGTTTGCTTTAAGGGATGTTATTTTAAGATGTGCTCAAAGGCCTGCCTAAAAGTATTTAGCACTTCTGGCCTGCTGCAAATCCAGAGACATCTACATTGGAGTGTGGCATCAGTGTAAGGGCCATGTGGTTACAGGGGGTTGCCATGAAAGTCAGACTCATCCTCAAGGAGGGCTCTTTAACTGCTATGTGATTTTTGCATAGACAATGGTCTTGACTTCCCTCTACCACCTTTTTTTTTAAACTCTCAGTGACATCCCAGACAGAATAAGCACTTAACTTTTTCATGTTTCTATAGTGAATGTTTTGTTACCTTTTTTATTTTTTTATTATTATTGCTCTTTTAGAGAGAGAGAAAGTGAGGGGGATAGAGAATAGAAACATCAATGAGAGAAACATCATCGATTGATCAGCTGCCTCCTGCACGCCCCCCAAAGGGGATACAGCCTGCAACCCAGGCATGTGCCCTGACCAGGAATTGAACCAGCAGCTTCTTGCTTTCTGGGTTGATGCTATACCAGCCGGGCATTATTATTTTTATTACAGCATTTATCAAACTATAATGCAGTTAACTATGGGAATATTTAATCCCCTCCCCCATTTGAATGTAAACTGTCATCCTGACACCTAGCACAATAGGATGCATACATAAGGCACTGGGAAGTCCAGTTCAATGACTAATAACTCCTTGAAATCAATTACTTTATCAGATGAGTTGAGCAGAACATTAGGGAATGTAATAAGGATTAGAAAGATGGATGAAGAATATACTGAAACATGCCCCATGGCAGTGATAATGGCAATTCATAGTATGGAAAAATGTGGGTAGGCAGCAGAAACTTTGATTACTTAACAGTTTTATAAACAGCTGATACTGGATCTGGGACACCAAGATGAAACGGAATAAATATTATTTTAGAATAAGAAAACCTAGCTCTATTATTTACTTACTGAGTAGTCATCAGTGTGTTGCTTAACTTCTCTAAACCTGACCTTATGTTACTGATTGTTCTATCTCCAGCATCTAGCATATTACCTAATACCTATATTATTTGATTATTACAGTTTTACATGGAAATTTTTATGTCCATTGTGGAAAGTTACACATACAGGAAAGTGAAATATAAGAAAACAAAACAGCCTAATTTCTGCCAGCCAGACATTACTAATATTAACAATTTGGTGTATATGATTACACATATATGGTATATATAGTATATATGTACATATACTATATATATATATTCTAATTGTTTCTACAATTGTTCTGTAATCTGCTTTTATCAATTAATAATTCCATCTTTCCATGGCAATAAATATTCATATTACTAATATTCAGGATATTTTTAATGTGCACAGGTTGAAACTTTACATAGATTGTTTGATGCACAACTCCAGCTTCCAATTGTTTCTACAATTGTTCTGTAATCTGATTTTATCAATTAATAATTCCATCTTTCCATGGCAATAAATATCATCTTGAACATTTATTATGCAGTGGTATCTGTGTAGATGATTGCCGAATTCAGTGATTTTCAGACATTTGAATACATCAGAGTCACTTGCACATATTTTAAAAGTGAGATATGCTCAAGTCTCAACTCAGACATACTGAAACCGAATACCCTTGTGAAAACACCATTTTATTTCAATGTTTTCAAATTAATCTCTTCAAAAACAAAATGTAGCAGTAACCACAAAATAGATGATCTTCCCTAGAGGTTTATAAATGTGGCATCAGATAAAAATACTTG